CCTTTCAAAGTACCAGTTGTGAATGGAACAAATGGTAGCAGTTTTCTTGTAAAATTGGCTTTCTTCAAAGTAGGCCCAGGAACGCCAGTTTGCTGCGGTATGTTTCCAAATTCGGGAACGCTGCGCCGCTTGTGAAAAGGCCAAACAGACATGTGTTGAACAACACTGTACTTCCTTGGTGTGATAGAAGCGATCCAAAGGCAAGGGTCAAGATCTTGATGTGAGGAAGTCTCTGTGCCCAGCAAGCTGTCCCGCAGCGGCGGGTGTCTAATATTCTGAGTGTTTGTTGGCTTGGGCACATGTTTATGCAACTCCTAGTGCTTCCCGTTTTCCTTAATCCGCATCGCAGAAGAACAGTTCTGGGTACAACATGAGAAAGTCTTTTCCGGGCGGCATAAGCCGCCTAGCGCACAGCCAATCAGTCCACAAAGTCGTCAAAGTGTAGATAAGACAGGTTGTGCAAAACATTTTCTGTAACGAAGGAACAAGAAGCTACTAGGGGCTCCTGGCATCGCTACTAGGAGCAAGGACGCTACTAGGGGCTCCTGGCATCGCTATAGGAGCAAGAAGCTATTAGGAAGAAGCTGTTCTAAACCGACGCGACGCCATGGACTTGCCCATGGTTTTTCGCGATGAATTGCCATGCGCAGTGATTTTCAAAGACTTTCCGGAAGGGCGAGGTGTTGCTGTGGCGAAGGATGTGAAACGAGGAGATGTGCTGCTACAAGTGCCTTTGGATCGATGCTTGATTTGAGATGCTTCGCTGTCTTTACATGTCAAAACAACTTTCAAAACATGCTGTGTCACCACACAACTCTCTTTGTTTCCCTGATTGACTGTCACCTTGTTTTCAGGTTCTTAGGTAAGGGCTGTAAGGGTGACTGACATTGGTTTGGGTCAATAGCTCGCACCAGAGTTGCTCCGACATATTCATTCTGGTGAGGTCTGAATGAAAAGGTCTGAAATGTTCATATTGTTAGCTACTTGCTCCTAGTAGTACGGCCAGGAGCCCCCAGTAGCGTTCTTGCTCCTAGTAGCGATGCCCTTTGCTCCTAGTAGCGTTCTTGCTCCTAGTAAAGAGCAAACAATGTTCAGATTCAGATGTGTTTGCGAGGTCCAGGGCAGCACGCCTACTTTCCGCATTCCAGACTCCAGACCGGCCCTATTTCTTGAAGTAGAACACATGTAGGCCTTGTTTCCAGAAGGTGATGGTCACGGTGGTTGCCATTGTGTGTCCAAGACCAAACTCTCGAAGCGTAAAAGTCTCTGCCAGAAAGGCCGTTGGAGAAGTACACGCAGTGTACTCTGCAAGAGGGAGGGCCTCATGATGTACAAACGCACTTAAGGGCTGAACCAAAAAGAAAAACAAGAGCGAGAGACTTGGGAGCAAGGACGCTACTCGGGGCTCCTGGCATCGCTACTAGGAGCAAGGACGCACGGGGCTCCTGGCCTTACTACTAGGATGTTCTGAACCGACGCCCAAATAATCTAAGAGATCGGAACTTTCTAGGAAAGAAGTCCGACTTGGGTGAGGCTGCCTGCCCTGGTGGAGTCTAGAAGTAACACCATTGCATTACAATTATATACAGCACAACACAACAGCAGGTAGCAATTCAATTGACTGAAAATAATGAAACAGTCCAACTATGCGTGCTTCGGGCTTGCTAAAGCTTCCAAACTGAATCCAAATCCATTTGCCGAATCCAAGGGGCAAAGAGAGCTGGTGAGCAGGAGCAAGAACGTGAGGGGAACTGTGAGCAACTGGGGGCCAGGAGCTGGGGAGTGGGAAGATAGAAAGCACATCAGCCTTGCAAAAGTTGTTGCTGCCATAAAATCATGTTGCTATGGTTGCCCAAACACCTGTTTTGTTTTGTGCTGCGTTAGCTTTCACACAACGCTCCACTTTGTAGCTCGGAACTGTTGCTTCAAAGTTTCTTCGATTTCGAGGCTGCGTGCGTCTAACGTGTCTAACAAAGCGGTCTAACAAAGTGGCCTTCGTTGTTGGTCATTATCCAGGCGGCGCTGAAGCCTGTCCCCAGTGTTTTGGGTGCCTTCTGCCACGAATTAAGTCAAAGATGTGGGCGCTGACGCTTTGAAAAAGGAGGTCTTTGTAAAACCTGGTCTGTTCACAGTACTTCCGCAACTTGGTTTGTCCGTGTGTAGCTGGCGCCTTTCCAAACTGCGCCTTTCCAACTGTAGTTGAGCAGTTGTGTCAAACATATATAAGCCTTATCTTTAAGCTATTGTTGGTTAACACGTTTGGTTTTAAATACAATTCTATGGTGTTTAGGTGGCCTGCTATAGCACACCTACGCCCTACGCTTTGAGCTTTAAAGTGGACAAGCGAGGTGAAAAAAATCGGTTTGTAGGTCTTGAACTTTAGGAAGAACCTTTGACCTTCGAAGCAGGTTTAGGTCTACAAAGTGAAGGGCCCAAACTATACCCTAAAAACCTTAAAGCCACAAAAATGCTAAGTTGTTTCCCACTAAGCCAAAACATATTCAATGACCTCTTCGACTTCAGAAACCACTTGCTTCAAACCAGTTGCGGCTCCACCATTAGCACACCCTGAATGGTCAAATTTGTTTGTGGTTCTGGATATCTATTGGGCAGTGGTCTGGCAAGGCATTGCGGTGAACGATCCAGCCCTTGGAGGGTTGGATGATGGAGCCAGGCGGTGGAGCGGGATAGGAAAAGTAGCGTGTTGTAGCCAAGCGGGCCAACAAATTGAACGACCATACCACACCCTTAAAGTGAGGACAAAATCGCTGTATTTTTGTGCCTTTACATAGCTGGAATATGCAACCATGAACACATGGAGTTGATCACGCGAAGGAGGCGCGGAGTTGGAAGAGTTGGCAGGCCAAACTTGAGAGGGAACAATGTTCGCTACTAGTAACAAGTGCCACGCTACTAGTAACAGGTGCCTTACTAGTAGTAACAAGTGCCTTACTAGTAGTAACAAGAAGCTATTAGATTCTTGTTGGAACGGTCAAGAAAACCACCGAAACTCGTGTTAAAGGGGCCGGTCGTCGCTGTGGCGGAGTCAAGGCACTCGTTTTGTCTCTTCAGATGCCTGTTTGTTCAGTTCAAAAGAGTACTTCTAATAGCTTCTTGTTACTACTAGCGATGCACCTGTTACTAGTAGCGATGCACTTGTTCCTAGTAGCTTATTGTTCGCTACAGATGAAATACGATGAAACACTGTTCAAAGAATCAGTGTTTGTCTTCGGATGAAACCAGACCATGCAGGGCCCCACCAGTCAACGGCTCAAACGTAGAAGGTAGCATCGCTGCCACCATTGTTGTCGCCCTAAGTTTCTGTTTGTTGCATGCCGTTTGCTTATTCGTGGTGAGACTGGGGGAAGTTGAAGCATCAAACAAAAGAACTGATCAAAGTATCTGCAGAATGTAACATCCGCAGCATTACGACGCGGTGAGAAGTGCTTCCTCTTGAAATCGAAAGGCGGAAGCAAGGTAGACCGAGTGAAGTATCCACAGTTGTGTTTGCATTCTCACATACAAAGAAGAGCAAAGAAAAGGGGTCTAAAAGAAGAACAACAAGAAAAGCACACACACACACACTTGAACACGCTTTTTGCGGTATTTTGAAGCCTCAGGATGTTGGACAGCGGAACGATCACGCAGAGCTTTGTCAGCTCGAGCAGCATGTCCAGCAGCCGATGTTGCATCAATTCAGTCCATACTGACGGAGAAACAATCTATCATTGCACACCTTATTCTGGCAAACTGTGATGGCAAGGACCGAAGCGGGAATTGAATGTGTCTTCCGTGTTTCAGAGGATTGGGGCTAGAATTAGAAACTGGTGAGGCAACTGATCCGCTGTCAGATCACCAGGGAATTGGAGACAGAAGAGACCAAAAATGCCCTTGCACTGCTGGCGTCGTGTTTTTTTTGTGTCAGCAGTAGCACAATGTGACGATACAACGGTTTGTTGCTGGCCTGGCCCCCGCGATCATAGCTTTTGTGTGTTGGGTTCCAGGCGTGTGTAGTTGTGTTTCCTTGGCTTCTGAAGTTTGCTATATGGGAGAGATTGTCAAGAGCAAACCCAGGGAACAAGACTCCAAGTGATTTGGAAAGGAGACATCCTTTGGGCATACCTAGTTCGTACACGCACTTGAACCAGACCCAGACTTGCATGTGCGCAGAGCTGCACCTCCCTTGATGGAGCTGCACGCTCCATCTCTTTTCCAGTCTTTTGTTTTGTGCCCTTGAATTATTTCACCTCACACTCAGGTGTAAGTACAGCTGGCCTGCGTGGCGGGTTCCTTGTCGCCAATTGCGAAATGCATAAAGGCATAAACTCTGACTATTTTGTCAAAGAAATGCGACCACTGCGACCTATTGTCAAAACTTGACACTTGTGCGACTGATCCGCTTTGAAGTGGGACAACCCAGGGAAAGCAGAAGTGGCAAGATACAACGTAGAGCTAACATGCTCAACTGCACGCTCATGAGATACAACGAAGGGTGTTGGTTCATTTTGACAGCAGGTGGTGATGGAAATCGAAATCCGCGAAGGAGTTTGTAACAACTCACCTGCCGAGTGGACATCCCAAAAAAGGAGGCAGGGTTCACAGCGAAGGGATCGCTGCCTTCATCACGCAAAGCCGCGAAGCAGTTTGCTATCTTGTTTTTTTTGTCCCTGTAGTCATGGCCTCCAACCCAATAGGGTTCACGCTGTTTGGCTTTTTTGGCCTTGGCTCTTTTCGAGTCACTTAATCTCTTTTGATCTGCCGAAGTCCTGCCTAACCCCCGCCAGCGCGAACGCGCACACACACATACACACATTCCGCACAGGGTAATTACATGTACTTACCGGGTACCCATCGCTTGCGTCTATCCAATATGCCTTTAGCACATACAGCAGCAAGACATTGTTGGACTTGTAGATTTGACGTTGGTGACCGAGTGACGTAGTGACTGACAGGACGATTTGGAAGCTGGGCATTTGGCCTTGCTCCCAAGCCTGGAATCAATGAACTTGCCAATTTCTTGGACAGATTCGGAGCTTGAAGAACTGGAAGGAAGTGAAGTGCACACTCACGTTATGCGTTTGAAGGAAGAACTCCCTGAAGAGTTTCAGGAACTTCAAACAAAACTCCGAGAGGAGCTTTGCATCAATTTACTGTTGGAGTTTGAACAATTCCTGTGGGCATGGAGCATCTATTCCTCCCGAGTCATGTCTCTCACAACGGAAAGTGGGGGAAGCATTTTTGCAATTGTACCAGGGCTGGATATGTTTAATCATTCTCCAGGCATGCCTACAGGCCTGTTCGAGCTAGCGAAGGACCATGTCATTGTGAAAGCAGGGGAAGATCTCATGGCAGGAGAGCAAGCCTATATCAACTATGCTGATATGTACAACAGTCAAATGATCCTCTCTTTTGGTTTTCTCCTTGATGAGCGCACTGTACAAAGTAGTGAGATCACCTTGTCCTTGCAAGTCTCGAAAGCTCAGCTGGAAGTTCACCGGCGAATTCTCGATGCAACTGCAGCTTCAAGACACAATCCTTTGGTACAAATTCTGCATGTACCTGAAGCTTCAGATACTGAGCTGATTGTAAAGCATGCTTTCACCTTGCAAGATCCCTTGCCTTTAGCATTCTTAAGCATGGTGCGAATTCAGCATTTGCAGCTTGGAGAGCAAGCACATCCCGCATCTTCTGCAGCTGCAGTTGAGCTGGCACTCCGTGGGCTTCCCAGCAAGGATGAGCTCCATGCTCTTTTCCTGATCTCTGCCCTTCTGGAATCCAAGCTTCAGCAACTGCAAGCATCAGCACAACAGGGGGAAACTTCACATTCACTTGCTAGGAAGCAAAATAGGTCTGAGCAGCAGGTGCTGCAAGCAAGTCTGGAGGAGGCTCGCCGCTTACAGCTTGCCACGATACGGACAGGGCTTAAGTCATTCAGCTCCAAGAAAGGATATTCGGAAGGCGAATGGTCAAAGACACCTTGGCTTCCCCGTTTGAGAGCGGCCTCGTCTGAGCTTCATGCCAAAGTCTCCTCAGTTGCTCGTTTGAGCAAAAGCATGCTGAAGTTCCTTCCTGCTCCGCACTTGCTCCAGGCGTGGCAGCAGGGTGGATGTGAGTCAGACCCCAAACCATCGTCCTTACATGTCCCTACCTTTTTTGCCACTTTCTCTTGAAATCCCAATACTAGAAGGTGCTGGAAGGTAGGTCTGCAAAACACCCCTTGTGGAGAACAAGAACGCATTGCAAAGTTGCGCTGTTTTTGATTGTTTCTTTGTTCTATGCCCTCTACTAGCGATGGCCTCCAAGCTACTAGCGAACCATCCAGGCATGTCACCTGGTGAACTTGTGGATGGTGGGGCGCCATGAAGAGCCACCCACGACGGTCTCCACGGTCGTCCCTACCGTCCTGCATCGCTTTCTCCTGGCAGAAGACACGTGGCCCTTTGAGACCGAGGCGAAGAACGAAGTCGAAGGACGTGCCGGAAGCGACGGACGTCTCCTTGCGACGGAGAGCGCAAGGGATGGAGGGACGTCTCCATGTTCGGAGGGTCTCGTGAAGGACGTCTCGTCCACAGATCCCTCAGGCAGTCCGTCAGGCCACGGCAAAATGAATTTTGAAGATTTGTCAAATCCTTTGTTGTCTTTGTATGATGAGAAGATGAGCTTGTGGGGTTCTTGGCTGTGTGCACAATGGCTGCACTGTGAAGCTGTCCAGCTGGAAGACTGGAGTTCTATGGGAGAAGAGCAAGTGAAAATTCGAAATGAATACAGTTGGAGTGTTCCAACAGAGGAAGCTTTGAGACTTTTGGCTTTGCACCAGCCCCTTGTGGAGCTGGGTGCGGGTGCTGGCTATTGGGCCTCTTTGCTGAAGCAACTGCCAGTGGACATTCTGGCCTTTGACGAGAAACACTTTCGATCTTCATTCAACGAACGTGCCAACATTTCTCAAGGCAGAAATCAGTGCATCGCTTCTAGTAACAAGTGCCTTACTACTAGTAACAAGAAGCTACTAGGAACAAGTGCATCGCTTCTAGTAACAAGTGCCTTACTACTAGGAACAAGAAGCTACTAGGAACAAGTGCATCGCTTCTAGTAACAAGTGCCTTACTACTTGTGGAGGCCATCGCTAGTAGCTTGGAGGCATTTGGAGGCCATTACTAGTAATTAACAAGTGTTCTTTGTTTAAGCCCAACATGTCTCAAGGCCAAGAAATCAGCTTCAAGTACTTTTGTGAAGTTCTTCCAGGAGGTCCTGAGATGATCAGCCAATACCCAGACCGTACTCTTGTGCTGATGTGGCCTGATTATATGGGCTATGGAACATATGGCCTCGATTGTTTGCACCACTACAAGGGTGACAAGCTGATTTTGATTGGAGAATGGAGGACTAGTACCCTGGGTCAGTATACCAGTGGCATTTCCAATCATGGGCAGTCATTCTCACTGGACTTTCAATTGAAAGTCGAGGAAGATTTTCAGCTAGTTGAGGCCTTGAATCTTCCGACTTGGCCACTGTTTCTGGACCGGCTGCATCTTTTTGTCAAAAACGAAAGACCTTGATCCACTTGCATTGTTTTGGGCAGACCTGGACGATGTTGCACTTACAGGGCGTTGAACACTTGTAACATTGCACGCCAAGTCCCTTGGTCATTCTTGGTTTGCACAGCTTAAAAGCTTCACCATTAAAACACGAAATCTGAATGAGCTTAAATAGGGCTTTGGTCACCTGCAATTTCATACTGTTTGATACCCATTACTTAGACGTGAGGCACACGTGTTATCCATCATTCAAGTGCAAAAGTGGACATGTTGCAAGCACCGACTCGCTAAATGGAAGATCATGGGCTGGTCTTTGAAAGTTCAGAGGCGAGCAACCGATCGAACGATCGCTTGGTTGGTTCATCGGAAGCCTAAATGAGCACCCGCTTTGGATGTGGTGTAAGGAAACAAAGGTTAGTCAAGAGAAGAAGGATGAGGTAGAGGTGTCTAGTGTATAGGTAAAGAATCAACACCCTCACTTCGCTGCATCAAACTTCACCACATCACATCTAATTTTATCCTTCACCGCTGCAAAGGACCATCATCGCACTGAGTCACGAGATGAGTAAGCAGTAAGCTTTGATCCAGCTGAAGGTTTTTCTGACAGGAGAGGTTGAAGGAGGTACCTTTCGAGCTTGGAGCCTACCGAAAAGTGTGCAAGAATTTAGTTAGTTTGCGCCCTGGGTTGGGCAAGCGTAATGCAGCGCCCGGTGAGGCCAGTCGAGCAAGCTGTTGCTAGCACTCTTGATGCTCAAAGAGAAATAGGAACCAAATCAATCCGAAGGGTTCTCCAGTGAAGCTGTCCCTTGCCCCGCCTTGCCCGCTTTGCCCTCAGGCAGGGAAAATAGAGTGCCAATTGGGCAATAGCCAAAATCTTCCCTGATATTCCGAGGGGCATCTATGTCACATCAATCTGCGGCGCAAGGAAAACACTGCGTCGCGTAAGCTCCTTGTTGAGCACACTTATTGCGTACGGTTTGTGTAAGTGTAAGTATATACACTAATTTGTTTACACGGAACAATGTAACGTAGCTGTTGCCTTTGCGCAAGCAAATCCTTTGCGAAACCTTTCGGACGCACAATTGTGTGATGGCGTAAGCTTTGTACAAGACTTCGGTTAGCCAAGCGCTCGCGTGATTAAGCTCAAACTCTGGTTGTGTAAGCAACTCGCAAGCAAAAGCGTGAGATTTTGATACGACATATATAGAGGCTTAATCAATCTTAATCGTACGTATTGGCCGGAGCTCAATTGTGACACATAGTGAATAGATGTGAATAGTGATGCAGGCAGAGGTGAGTGCCAAAGTGTTTGTCGCGTGCAGTGCATCGGGATGTTGCACGCAGGTGTGTGTGCAACAGCAATCGCCAAGGCTGCTTTATTTCTCGCAGCGCTAGAGATGCACAGCATACGTGTCTCTGTTTAGCACTGAGGCCGTGTTCGGACCAGGTTTCAGTTCATTGTGGGCCGCGATACATCAGAACAATTGTATGATTACGCACTTCACACCAGCGGCACCCCAAAGTTTCACCTATCTTGACATAAATCTATTTGCCGATCCAAGTCGATCCAAGTGGTTTCTTCTGTCTCTATGACGCTTTTGACTTATCATTGTGTCTATCCGCAACAAACTCCTTCACTCTATCTGTGGCGAGAAAGCACAGCAGCATTTGTCTTACTAATTCGCTCGGAAACAACGTCGGTGCACCAAAGTGCTCAGTTTGGGTTCTCCTTACAGCTAAAGCTGATAGCTCGACTGCTCCAACCTTACACCATTGGCTTTGAGGAGGAGATTCCGTCCAAAGTTTTGGGTTGAACGAGAAGGTGTTAGGCACAACCTGCGCCCCAGATGCAGTGGTCATGTGAGATTTTCCAGTTTCTTCCGGCCCGCAGCATGTTGGGTGCAACAAGAACATTCAGAAATCGTTTGTTGACACCAGCAAGCAGCAAGCACATGACAGGGACGACCAGTGCAATCATAGTAGGTTACTAGGTGGCTACACCGCACCCATAGTTGGCTGCTTAGCCATAGCCCTTCCAACATGACCTTGGACTTAACTTACCCATCCCCTGTCTGACTTGGAGCCTTCACTCCTATGTGATTTGAGCTTAGTGCAAGTACAATGCTGAGAGCTTGATCCCAGCATGGTGTAAGCGAACTTTGAAACTTTTGGCATTCCGCCGTGTATTTGTGTGTATATGCCTGTCTGTGCGCGCGAGCGTGTTCCTACTGTACAGTCAGACTCTTGAGCTCGTTTACTGTAGGGCATGTGATTCTTCTTACTGCTTCTCCAGTCAGTTTCCTGAGAATGCTTGTTTTGTTGGCTTCTTTTGAAGTCGGGAAGCCGCCTAGTCCTTTTTTGAGCCGCACCTAGCAGATTCACACCATTGCGAGCAGATTCGCATGCTCAAAACTGATGAAAGGAGGGAAAGGAAAGGTCCAAGTTTCTTTCTTTTGACGACAAATTGGCCTGGTAGGCTGTGGAGGTGGTCAGCTCCTTCAATCAAATGGGCTTGAAGGCTTGGTGACCCGTTCTGCGCGCGTTCTGGCGTAAGCCCTTTTGAGTTCTTCAACAGAAAGCATCTAAGCTAAAAGCTATGGCCTCCAACCTAACCCTAGTAATGATGGCCTCCAACCTACTAGCGATGGCCTCCGCCTCCAGCCTAATAGCAATGGCCTCCATGAAAAAAGACAAGAAACATGTAAAAAAAAAACTGAGTTTCTTCTCATTGCAGACGCATGGGCCGCATGCTATTTCTTCAGGAAGATGTCCTCCGTGGAGTCTTCGCGTATGGCTTCGAGAAGCGACTTGGCTCCAACCGTTGGTTATGTTTTCTATCTTCATGACCCTGCACGGTTCCCCTGTGTGCAAAGATCCTCAGATCCTCATTATTTTTCCAAGTAGAAACTTGTGAGTCCATGTCACAAGGAAACTCCTCGGAAACAGTTCGAATAAACAGATGAAGACGAAACATGGGAAGAGAAGGAGTGGACACCAGAGTTAATTGTTATTAACTGTGGTGTTAATTATGCTTCTTTGGGTACAGATCAATATAATATGCAAGTCAGAAGTATGAACTTGGGAGCTGTTCTTTTCATCACCCATGCTTGTGGAAGAACTAACTCTGGATTTAGTTTTTCGTTGTTTGGTTCTGTATCGGGAAGCATTCGAAAGCCATTTGGACCTTGAACAAGAATAAAATCTGGAGTTGATTCTTTTTTTGTGTTGTGCTGTCAGTGTGGCCACGTAATTTGTTTCTGGACCTTTATCCGACTGTGATCTTTGTTGCAGATGGCTGTGGTGGCAGCGAGAGAGAAAGAATGAGACAAACTGAAAACAAATTAAACTCTGGACTCTGGAGGTAATTCTTTTATGGGGACTTCTCTTCTCTTCCTAAAGCTCTTTCACCTAGCTAGAATTAAAAGGATCTAAGCTCAAGAAGAAAAAAGAAAGACCACGAAAAAAAGAGACACGGAAACAGACTGAAACATAATTATACCGGCATAGACCCCAGATAGCACTTCAAGAAAAGTTGGACATCATGGCAAGAGCGGGAGACAAGCTTGGGAGACATCCCACTCAAAGCCGGGAAAAGGATGGAAAAGGTAAACAAGACCTAAATCATCTTATAACAGCATCCGCGTCAAAGGCAGGCAAGAAAATGACAAGGCGGCAGCGGCAGCCAAGAGCGAAATCAGGAACAGAGACAAGCTTGGGAAACACGCCGGCAGCGGCAGCCAAGAGCGAAATCATAAAGGGAGACAAGCCGGCAGCGGCAGCCAAGAGCGAAGTTATGAAGGGAGACAAGCTTGAGAAACAAGACGGCAGCGGCAACCAAGAGCGAAATCATGAAGGGAGACAAGCTTGAGAAACAAGACGGCAGCGGCAACCAAGAGCGAAATCATGAAGGGAGACAAGCTTGAGAAACAAGACGGCAGCGGCAGCCAAAAGCGAAATCATGCATGGAGACAAGCTTGGGAAACAAGGCGGCAGCGGCAGCCAAGAGCGAAATTATAAAGAGAGAAGCTTGGGGAGACAAGGCGGCAGTGGCAGCCAAAAGCGAAATCATGAAGGGAGACCAGCTTGTCTCCGGCAGCCAAAAGAGTAGTCATGAAGGGAGACAAGCTGGAGAAACAAGACGGCAGCGGCAGCCAATTTCCACAATCCGGAACCCATCCAATGAGAAGTAAGAACCCCTATAGCTTCCAGCTATCTGGGGAATTAACTCCAGGGCTAATTCTTTTCAGGACTTCTTCCTCTCACCCTCTTCTCTTCCTAAACTTTTTTCACCTAGCTAGAAATTAAAGGATCTAAACGTCAAGAAGAAAAAGAAGCGAAAGAACGAGATAGACAAAGAAAAAAGACAAGGAGACGGATTGAAAAAGAATTAACTCCAGACTTAATCCTGTATTTGCACCACTGGCAAAGTTGATAGAATCAACTTCAGAGTTAGAATAGCGGTAAGAGCTAAAAAAATTAATACTGTATTTTTTGTTTAAACTATTGTACTCAGCCGCTTCCAGAAACGCCGTCTAAAGGCTGTCAAGAGCTGCCTTGAGGCCTTCGCCAGTGCAGCAAAGAGCCATCAGACCAATTCTACAAGGCGTAGCCACAAACATGTAGTGAAGCATATTGCTTAGTTTCTGGCAGCAAAATTGTTGTTAGATGTTCAGGATGCCTGCCATTTTCTGAAATGTGCATAAAGAGATAACACAGTCCTACCAATGGTTTCCGATCAAGGTGGCAACTGAATTGTGAATTGTTTAGTGCAAGGGACCAGAGAATGGCTGGATGAGTGTTTTGGCTCAAGGTGTTTTTCAGGTACGCCGTGGTACCCCTACGGTTGTTGTGTTGGTTTGTTTTGTAAGCTGCTTCACTTGCTCCTACTCTTCTAAATGCATGCTTGCTTGTTCATTGTCTACTTGCGCTTCCCTTGCTCCCCTAATCAAATGTTCTCTTGCGCAATTCCTACTTGTTTTTGACTTGCCCATGCTTGCTTTTGCGTGAACTAAGGATATGTG